GAGTGTGGCGTGTTCACGGGGTCAGGGCCTTCGAGGCCAGGCTGACAGTGATCGTTGTTCTTCATGTCAGACTCCTCCGACCAGAGTGTGAGTTCCACCAGGGTAGGGGTTTTCATCCACTGATGTAGTCCAGGCACCTAGCCGGGCACATAGTAGGTGCCTGATAAATATTTGATGAATAAAACAAACAGATTGTCTCACTTAATCCTCACAACAATCCCAAGAGGTAGGTGCTGAGATTATTAACTTCGTTTCTCAGAAGAGGAAACTGAGGCTCAGGTAAACTAACCTGCTCAAGGCCACACCGCCGGGAAGCGGCAGAGCCAGGCTGGGATGCGGTCGAGTCTGCCTGTTCGCTCAGAACTGAGCCCATTTCCCGTATGGGAAAATAACATAAGTAGAGTCTGAGGATAGTCTGGGAATGGTTGGGGAAGTGACCCAGAGACTAGAGAGGAGGAGCACAGGGGCAGAGGGAGGCTTCAGACGCTCTCAGGAGGGGGCTCCAAGGACGATGGAGGAGGTGATGGGCGCGTGGTGGTGCCCTGACCAAGACAGCCCACCTCCCTTCTCTCCACCCTCCAGTCTCCAATGGCCCGGTGGAGTCGGTCACCCTGGAGAACAGCCCGCTGGTGTGGAAAGAGGGGCGGCAGCTTCTCCGACAGTGAGTGTGTGGAGGGCAGGGTGGAGGCTGGGGGGCGAGAACACGTTTGGCTTGAGAGATAAGCCCGAAGGCTCCGCAGTCCTTCCTGTCCCCCTGGGAACCCTGAGCTGTCAGGATCCCTGCTGGCCACAGCTGTCACCCCATCGGGGAGAGCAAGGGAAGACTCCCTGCAGGAGGCACGTGTGGAAAGCGACCCCAAGTGCCTCTGTGCCTTTTTTTCCCCCAGGGTAATGTTAAATTGTTTTTTATTAAAGAGATGTGTGTGTTTTAAAAAACTTGGGAAACAGAAAGAAAAGAATAAAAATCACTCACAATTCCACCACCCAAAGAATTTCATGCCCCTGTAAACATTTTGGCACATATGCTTTCTCTTCCGTGGATATGTATTTGTGCCTGTGTGTGTGTGTGTTTTATAAAAGCCAGGGCTCCCCCTTCACAGTGTTTCATAATGCATTGCTTTTGCTAAGCGTTGTGAACGTCTTCCCACATAAATTACTTATGTTGCATATTTCAAGAGCTGTATAGTAGTCTGTCACGTGGATAATCATAACTTCCTGTGGCCAGTCTCTTGTGCATTTCGTTGAAGGTGTATTTTTCAGTAGACTGTGTGACAAACACCAGCAAGTTATTTGTCCATATCCTTGATTTCCTTACGCTGAATGTCTGGGAGTGCAATTGCTAGCTTAAAGGGTGTGCAAACAGTGACAACAGAAAGATCATCACAGGCGACGCTTGCCAGGGACCTGTTAGGAGCCTGACACCGTGCTAAACGCTTTGCACCCAAGGATTCCTCACATAAACCCCCGTGTAGTGTAACTGCTAGCATTCCCCTCGTTTTCACAGATGAAAAAACCGAGGGGCAGAGAGGGTATCTGTTTATGGAAGGTCACAGCTAACCAGCGGAGGGTCTGAGGTGTGATCTCGGGCAGCCTGTCCCCAGAGCCCAACTCCTTCCGCACCACACTTTCCTGCCCCTCCACTGGTGGGGAGGGGAAGCGTCGGACACACACAGGCACCCGAGATGAGATAGCAGGCCACACAGCAGGCCGAGGCAGGTGCTGTCTGATGTTCCCAAAGGGACAGGGTCAGGCTCAACAGAAGAGGCTCTGGAGGCACCTCCTGAGGACCAGCATGGGACTCTTTGTCTCCAGTCTTTTGAAACCACAGGTATTTTCAGCTTTTAGACCAGTCCCAGCTGGCTTCAGTTCTCGTAATTACAGAAGTAATAAATGCTCATTCGTAGAAGTGAGTAGAGTAAATGCCAGAAGTTCCTATTAATATCCCCAATCTCGCTCTCCAGAGGTCGCTGCTCTTAAGTTTAGTGTGTTTCTCTCTAGGGCTAGCGAGGGGCGTGATAAAATGTGTGTTTGTGTGTGGTCTATACTTATATGCACATTCTTTTTTTCCTACAAACACTTGAATTGTAAGGAACACCTAACTTACAGTTTTTGTTGCGCTGTTCATCATGGCCGCTTTCCTTGGCATCTGCTCTGTTTATCTTGTGCGTAGTGTCCCAGCAGTCATTTGCTTCCACAGTCCTCAGCAGTGGACGTGTAGTTTGGCCCCTGCGTTTTGGTTCACTCATATGTGCAGTGTCTCCGCGAGCATCTGTGACAGCACAGTGCCCATGTAGAAAGGCTTCCACTGGAAATAGTCTCAAAGGGGAAACGGTGGGGTCAGGGGTATGCTTCTTTGAAATTTTGATGTATAGTCTGAAGTTGCTCCTCCAAAAAGCCTGGCCCAATTTGCATCGGCCCCCCCGCAGCATATGAAGAAGCCACAAGGCGCCTGACCCGCTCTGGTGCTGCCTCCCCACAGGTACCTGGAAGAGGTGGGCTACACCGACACCATCCTGGACATGCGGTCCAAGCGCGTGCGCTCTTTACTGGGCCGCTCGCTGGAGCTCAACGGGGCCATGGAGCCCAGCGAAGGGGGCCCCAGGGCCACGCCGGGCCCCGGGGGACTCAGCGGCGGCGAGTCGCTGCTGGTGAAACAGATCGAAGAGCAGATCAAGAGGTGAGCCCTTGGGTCTGGCGGGTGCATCCCTGTGTGCCTTCTCCGTCCTGAGGAAATCCGCCGTGCTCTGGGGGCCGCTTCCTTCCTGGAGTGTATCGTGGGCTCCTCTGTCCCTTCCTTGTGCGGTGTCCAGGTTCTGTCTTGGGTTCCCCTGGGTTCCCCTCCCCTGGCGTTGCCTTGGTGCTGTTGTGCATCACAGCTCCCACTGACCCGGCCCCCCTGAGGCTCAGGCCTGTGTGCTCCCCCGCTGAAGGCAGACCCTGGGCCACACGCCAGGACAGGGGTGAGGGGGGCACAGCACGTGGTCTCCGCCCCCAGGGAGCTCTCACTTGTTCGTTCTCTCATCAGTAATTGTAATTTGTCAAAATAAATAAGTTAATGGGTGGTGACGCGAGGTGCTATATAAAAGGCAGTGAGAAAGAGTGATGGGACAAGTGGCACTGCTTCGGATGGGGTGACATTTGGGAAGAGAACTGCATGGAGTGGAGGCTAAGCCACCCAAGCAGCTGGAAGGGGAATGTTCTAGGCGGAGGGAACGGCAAGTGTAAAGGTTCCGGGACGGGAAGGGCCTGGAACGTTCGGGAGCAGCCACACAAGCTGGTGTGGCTGCAGTGGCGTGAGCACGTGGGGGCTGTGGTCTGCGGTGCACTGAGATCTCAGGAGTCAGATCGGTCAGATCAGAAGGAGCTTGGAGGCTGGGGTTGTGGGAAGCCAGTGGTTTCGAGCAGGGGTGTGACATCATCTGATATACTTGGTCTGCTTGGAGGAGAGGCTGACGGAGGGTCGGGCTGGGAGCCGGGAGGCCGGGTAGGAGATTCCTGCAGACGTCCAGGTAAGAAATGATGGACATTAGCAGTGGAGGGGTGAGAAGGGGTCCGCTTCTCGGTGGGTTTTTAGGGTGAGCCGACACTATTTAAAGGACTGCCTGTGGGGGGAGAGGAAAAGAAATTAGGGTGTGGTCTGAGCAGCTGGGAGCAGTGCTGACCCAGCTGGAGGAGACAGAGGGTGGGGGGGCTTCAAGGGCACCGTTCGGGACGAGTGGAGTTTGAGGTGCCTGTTTGGCCCCCAGCACGAGGCGTGGCGGCGCTTGACTCCTAAACGTACCTCCAGTTCACCAGCACCCGGGTGGGTTTGGAAGCCACGGGACTCGGCGGTCACTGAGGCAGAGGGTGTCGATGGTGCTGAGAGGAGGTCCGAGGACCGAGCCATGGGGGCGGTCCAGCAGAGGAGGCCAGGCTGAGGCAGCTAGTGAGCGCGAGGAGAGCCTGGGCGCGGCGTCCCGGCGGAGTGGCAGCCATCCGCCCGGGCAGTTGACAAGAACTCTCTGGGGCATCAGTCCAGTGGCAGAAAAGGAGGCTGTTGGCATTTATCTGAACTTCAAATTCTGCCCTCCTTTCTGCCCTGGAGTCAGGTTTGGAAAATAACCTCCTTCGCTAAAACTTGTCATCCCGATGGAGCCGTTAAACAGCAGGCCGGGGTGGACAGGGGAGCGCCGTCTGTCAGTGGGGAGAGTGCAGGCTGTGAGGGGCCCGAGTGACCGTGGAGTGACTGGTTCCTCTTTCTTGCTGGGTTTGTCCCCTCCACTCACCTGCTCTGTGCTCGTGGTTGGAGCGGGCCATGGGAACGGGAGCTGCTGAGTCAGTGGCGCTTTGTTGTCCAGCTCTCCTTCTGACTCAGCATATGCCAGGGCCGTGCCGTCAGGGTTGGGGGCTAGTCTGGGACTCAGGGAGGGTCAGAGCTCAGTGAGGGGTTGGGCCTGGTCTGTGGTCCCAGTGAGGGTTCCAGCTGGAGTGTGTCAGGCAGAGGCTGGGCTTGAAGCTCTGCGTGTGATCAGAGTCAAGGTTCCTCTGGGGTCAGGGTGGGCTTCGCACTCCTGAGAGCCGGGTCCAGGCTCTGGCCCCCGAGCCTCGGCGCTCTCCCATCTGAGCTTTGTCGCCTGGCAGGACTAATGCCCCCTCTGCCCCCCTGTCATGGGCAGGAAATCGGCCGGCAAAGACGGGAAAGAACGCTTAGACGGCAAAGAGCGCTTGGGTGGCTCAGTGCTGGAGCAGATTCCCTTCCTGCAGAGCTGCGAGGATGAGGACAGCGATGAGGACGATGAGCTGGACAGCGTGCAGCATAAGAAGCAGCGCGTGAAGGTGAGCACGGGAGCTCGAGGGGGTGCCCCTCCCCCCTTCTGCAAGGGGGCCCTTGCTGTGCGTGCAGAGCAGAGCGCCTCTGTGAGTGCTCTGGGGCTGCCTCTGAGGACTGTTCTGTGTCCTGATCATGTCCCTTCCCTGGGTCCCCATCTCCTGTCCTGCCGTGCCATTGCCTCAGGTACCTTGGGAGGTGCCTAGGTCTGTTCTATCAGGGCTGGCCCCTTCTCCACCTGCACCCCCGTCATTCTCTCCATCCTCCTTCCTTGGGCTCAGATGTTCCTGAGAGGCCTTTCCTGAATCTCCAGGTTAGGCCAGCTCTGAGACGCCCTCTCTTCTGTGCTCTCCTTCTGGCCAGCCTGACCACAGTCGGACTTAGAAATGTTTTGGTGTGACCCTGCCTCTGTCTCCTGCAGCAGATTGTGCGCTCCACGAGGCAGGGACTGTGCGAGTCTTTTACTGTTCCCTCCCCAGCACCCTGAGGGAATGTGGCCAGGCCCAGGGCTCAGCCTGGAGCCAGGTCGGGGGACTCCAGGGGGGACTTCATAGGATGTGAGTGTCCAGTCTGCTGTTGGTGGCAGGACCGAGGCCCAGGGACACTGCCCACAAGGTAGAGTCCACATCTCCTCAGCTTGGCCTGGAGATACGGCTCCCACCGCATTTCCCCCCACTCCTTAACTGCCAGAGCCCCATGCTCCTGCCATCCTGACGGCGCTGTCCTTACACGGGGCCGGGTCTCATCTGTCCAGTAAACATTCATGTGGGCCTCCATGGGCCAAGCTCTGTGCTGGCAGTGAGGACATGGAGACGCTGAGGTCCGGTCCTGGCGTGGAGGAGCTTGGGGCCAATGTGGGCTTCTAGGTAGTCACAGGCAGAGGGACGTGCCACGGTGGATGCAGGGACACGTGCCCAGGAAGGGGAGCCTGTGGGAGACGGCCTCAGGGGCTTTCCTTGACCCGGCCTTCCCACCCGAACTCTAGCCCTCCCTCCTCAGACTCACCTCAGACACCCCCCTCCTCCAGGAAGCCTTGTCTGACTCGCCCTTGCTCCCCTTCCCCCCACAGAGTCAGGAGGCTCCTGTGGGCTCCCCCGTCCTGACCGGGACCATTCTGGGTCCTCTCTGTCTGGTGTCAGGTCTGTTCTGGCCTCAGCTCTATGTCCAGTGTCCCCAGCGTGGCTCAGCGCAGGGTCCCGCGCAGGTCAGGCACTCAGTGAACGCACTGAGGGGAATGGAATGCACAGAGCCGGCACACTGGCACTGGGGTTGCAGGAAAAGCAGGGTGTCACTGAGTCTGGGGTCTCTAAGCTTCTCCCCTGGTCCAGAACGCCTGGTCCCTCCTGCCCCCTGTTGGGATTTTCACTCCTTTTGCAGGTCTCGCCTCAGCCTCCTCTGGGAAACCTTCCCACTCCTCTCCGCTCCTCCCATCAGAAATGATCGCGTATTCCCTTCGGCCTTTGCATCAGTCACCGCACCTGTCCCACATGCCCTGTCAGATGGCTCATTATGTAGGGGTCCCATGCTTCCCCAAGCCCTCTGTCTCCACACAGCAGACCTTCAGTGACCAGACCCTGATTCAGAAGACCTGCCCGTGACTCCCAGAGTGGCCGTGGCCTGGCTCTGTAACTGTGGGCACATGATTCTCTTTGTCTTGGCTTCAGTCTCAGGGGCTAATAGTCCCTGTCGGGCTTCCCTGGTGGCGCAGTGGTTGAGAGTCCGCCTGCCGATGCAGGGGACACGGGTTCGTGCCCCGGTCCGGGAAGATCCCACATGCCGCGGAGCGGCTGGGCCCGTGAGCCGTGGCCGCTGAGCCTGCGCGTCCGGAGCCTGTGCTCGGCAACGGGAGAGGCCACAACAGTTAGAGACCCGCGTACTGCAAAAAAAAAAAAAAAAAAAATAGTACCTGTCTCTGGGTTGTTGAGGAATTAATTAAAATGAGTTCACGCGTACAAAGCCCTTGGCTGCACGGTGGCTGCCAGGCCAGGTGCTCGGCGGCAGCAGTATTAGCAGTGCTTGGCAGGGGCCTGGCACTAATAGTCCCAGGCAGTGATGGCAGGATGTAACTGCATAGGGCCCCTCTCGTGGACTGACCCCTGCCATTTTCTCTCTGGGTAGGCTGTCTGAACCTTGACCCTGGGTCTTCTCCCAGGACGGAAGAGGAAGGCACGTCCCATCCCCCTCCTCCCACACAGGCCAGAGGTTGGCCCTCCACGATGCCTGAGCCTGAGCATAGCTGCTCCAAATTCATACCCTCCAGACCCAGCTCAGGATGCTGAGCCTCTGGGAGGAGGGGCATCAGCCATGCCCTCGAGGAATTCACAGTCTGACTGAGGCTGGGCCCAGGCAGGAAACACTTAGGAGGGCGAAGCCTTCCTGGAAGAGGTGGTGTTTGGAACCAGTGGTCTCCGAAGCACTTAAAGCAGAACTCGGATTCAAAACTGTATTTGAAAATTCTGAAACTCCCTTAAGCCATTTAAGTGCAGCCTTTGAAGTGCCAAGTATACAGCTCCCGGATGGCACTTTATGTAAAACACAGTGATGCTTACGCCACAAGAGGGTAAAGAATCATACGCAAGATGTCACTTCATGAGGCTGCATCTCAAAGGTGTCCGTGTGGGGAAACACAGGTGTGATGCTGCTCCTAAATTCACAAGCCTGGGATTTGGTCCAGGCTTGTGAATTGAGGAGAACAGGATGATTTGGTTCTTGCTCCTGGTTAAGACCGACTGTGGGAAATAGCAAACTCAGTGTTCACTCGCCCAGCATTCTGTTTCTCAAAATGGAGGAATTGGGGTGTTTTCTCTCATTCTAAAAGTAGCTCCTGCTTGTTATGCAAGAAAACAGAAATTCAGCCAGTGTAGAAAATTATAAGGAAGACTTGGAGAACCTCAGGTAATCTCACACCCCAGAGCCGTCTTAGTGTATAAGGAATGGCTTGGACCTGGTGACCTGGGCAAGGGGCTTCACTCTGCTCAGTCTGTTTTCCTTATCTGTAATATGGGGATAATAATTACAATAGTAATTATTCGTGGGGCTGTGAAATCATATATGTGAAGCTTATTCAGTGCACTGAATAACCCAGAGAGGCTGGCCCAGTAAGTGTTCATTATTATTACCATTGTACCCGTGGATCTGTTCTCACTTTGATTGAGCGCCTCCTTCCACTCACTCACACCTGTAGAAACACGTATATCTTCCCTCGCCCCCGAAACAGGCTGTCATGTTATCCGACGTTTCTTCATGAGAAGCACTGTGCTGGGGGCGGGGCGTGGGGGAGCAGGAGCAGCCTGAGTGAAGGCCAGGAGGGGGGCCCTGTGCGGGGATCACTGCTGGACGCAGCAGGAGCGGAAGGGGTCTCCAGAGCCAGGCTGGGGGAGCAGCTCCAGTGAGGAGCAGCCCTGAATGCTCCCAGCAGGGGGAGCGCGGCATCAAAGTGTGGGGCTGGGGCGGACCCTGCGGGCCGAGGCCAGGAGCCTTGGTTTCTCTGTTCCTGGAGACTGGGTGGGCTTGGGCCCATGCAAGAGCCCCTGACCCCTGGTTGTCTCCACGCCCCAGCTGCCATCCAAGGCCCTGATTCCTGAAATGGAGGACGAAGACGAGGAGGACGACTCAGAGGATGCCATCAACGAATTTGATTTCCTGGGCTCAGGAGAGGACGGAGAGGGCTCTCCAGACCCCCGGCGATGCGCCGGAGAGGGGACCCACCATGAACTGGGTGAGTTGGAGGTTTTCTGGCCCACCTTCCTCACTGCAGGCACACACAGCCGCCTGCAGCTGCTTCCTGCCCCAGGGTCTCCACCGGACGGATACACTTCCTGAGAGGAGGGTGGCCAAGGAGAGCGGGAGGCCTGCACCACGATGGCCAGGCCTTCACTCCTTCCCTGGAAAACCCCTGTGGGGACACAGGCAGGCCCGGCTCTTCCTGCAGCAGGGCCTCCAGCCCTCCACTCGAGCAGCCAGTTGTTGGCGGACCTCGGAGGGGGCAGGGTGGACAGGATGCAGACCCGAAGTGGAGAAGGCAGACGGGGCAGTGCAGCTGCTGCTTCCTGTCCTGTGACTCCAGGCTGCGCAGCCCTCGGGGGTCACGTAGGATGGCTGGGGACTGAGGCCCCAGCAAGGGCAGCCCATTGAGGGTCCCATCTCAGTCTGTCTCCTCTGCCTGTCCGCCATCCCCACCCGGAGCCCAGGGCTTCCCGGCCTCCCCACAGCTGCAGGAGAGCTCTCGGTGGTGGGGAAGGCATCGCCTGCACGTGGCTGAGTGAACCAGTCAGTAACTCTTGCCCTGTGCCTTGTCCCTGCAGAAACCCGGCGGGTCAAACTCCAGGGAATTTTGGCCGACCTTCGGGATGTGGATGGGCTGCCACCCAAAGTGACCGGCCCACCTCCCAGCACACCCCAGCCCCGGCCCCACGAAGGTAAGAGGCCCCTCCACCCTGGCCTAGTCCTGAGGGGCCCACGGCAGAGGGAGGCTGCAGAGCTAAGCCCAGGGCTTCTGTGTCCTCAGGGTCGAGGCCCAGCCTCTAGTCTGCAGCCTCCCTGTCCCAAAAGTTCGTCTGTCTGTCTCTGTCTCCCTCTCTTTTTGTCTGTCCTGCCCTGTCTGTCTGTCTCTCCCTGTCTCTTTCTTTCCAGCTGTGATTCTTGATCTTGTCCTCTCCCTGTCTCTCTTTCTCACTCCTTACCTCTCTCTCTGCCTCTCTCTGTCTTTCTCTCTTTCTCCTTGCCCCTCTCTGCGCCCTCCCTCCCCTCCCCCTACCAGGTTCCTTTGGCTTCTCCTCAGACGTTTTCATCATGGACACTATCGGGGGCGGGGAGGTGAGCCTGGGGGACTTGGCAGATCTCACCGTCACCAACGACAACGACCTCAGCTGTGATGTAAGTTCTCAGGGTGACCACCCCCAACAGGCCCCCATGGGGCGTCGGTGCAGTGCCGGGACTGGCTGAGCTCTGACCGTGTGCCCGGCCTGTGCCCAGCCCCTCACACACGAGGACGATGTGAGATCATTCGCCAGCTCACTGTTTCACAGAGGGTACCGACACAGGCGGTGGGACTTGACTGGGGTCACCGAGGTGCCTGGCCTAAAAGGCTCTGGCGCCTATGTTTCAATCATGCTGCCAGGCTCCTTGTCCCGGCGATGCTCCCTCACATCCTGGGCTTCCATGCACCTCAAGTCCAGCACCCACCGCAGACGGGAGGCAAGGGTGAAGGGGGTGCTGAGTCAAAATACAGCATTAGAGGAAGGGGGCTTTGGGCTGGTGGCAATTTGGGTAAGAAAGTCTGTGCAGGAGGTGAGAATTGAGCTGACTTTGGAAGGGGAGGTGACTTTAAGCCACAAAACAAAAAATCAGGCCGATCTGGTATGTTGGGCTGGAATGAAGGGAGACCTTAGGGCCAGTGTCCTGAGATCTGTGGCCGGGCCTCTGGCTATCTGGGCATCTCTGAAACGGGCGCATGTGAGCAAGTTCCTGTAGCAGGACATTTACCCCAGCTTCTAGCAAGATTTCAAGTGATCCCAGCAAGGGTAGGACACTGCTGTGGGGTGTTGGGAAGCGAGACTGGAGCGGAGGGTTTGAGCAGGGAGCACGCTGCAGGGCTCCTCTGCTCTCCCTGAGGTGAGACCCACCCCCACGGGGCAGCGTGCATGGGAGGGGGTAGACCCTCCGGCCTAAACCTCTGTGGCAGAAGTGGTGACCTTGGGGGACAGAGCCCAGATGAAGGGGTTCATCAGGGGTATACCTCATCTTGGGGCAGAGCACTGAGGCTTGACTGACAATCTGCTCGTCCCCTTTCCCGAGCAGCCCTCCCCAGGTACCCCACCTGGAGAGCGACACCATCGTCCGCCAGGACCTGTGGGACTCTCCCTCAGAGGCCTATTGATTCGGCTTCCCAGTCTCTCCCCACTGTGTGCTTGTCCCCATCTCCGCTCCACAGCGTCTGGTCTGCCTCACGTCTCCCTGGGAGACTTTCCTCAGGACCTCTTCGCCTCTCTCTCTACAGGCACTCTTGTCTTCCCCAGTCGAGCCCCCCACGGGGCGGCCGGAAGAAGTTGTGTCATTTCCTTGCTCTAAACCCTTCTGTGGCTCCCCTGTTGCTTGGGATGAGCTGCACGTTCCTGAGCGTGGGCCACTATTGTGGCTCTGGCCAGCCCTCTTGGCCTCATCTGCCGCTCTCTCCCTTGTTTTCTGCATCGCAGCCCTCCTCTCAGGCTCAGGATCCGCCCTTGCTGCCTCTGCCTCAGGGACTTTGCACATGCAGTTTCCATCCTCTGTCCCCTCCCCTTATCTGGTTACGTCCTGATGGCTTGTCAGTTCCTCAGGAAAGCCTTACTGACCCCCGACAGAGGAGGACAGGCTGCCCCGTACCTCCTCTCAGTGCATTTGTAATTCGTGGCACTGCTTGCAGTTCATAATCCTCTGCGCTGTGGAGACGATCTGATTGTCTCCCCCAGGCTCCCTCTGCATGGTGAGATCCCCAGGGTTTGGGCTCCCCTTTGCCTCCCCAGAAGCCAGCCCAGGCTCTGCACACTGCAGGCATTTGCTGAGTGAGTGAGGGGACACTGCAGGCAAGGAGGAAGTGGGAGAGGGCCGGGCTGGAGGCCAGTCTGTGAGGTGCCCCGTGTGGGGCTGGGAGTTGGTGTCTGCGGGACAGCTGAGATGGATGAGCAGACACTGAGGCAGCTCCCCCTCCCCAGCTGTCTGACAGCAAGGATGCCTTTAAGAAGACCTGGAACCCCAAATTCACCCTCCGCTCCCACTACGACGGCATCCGCTCCCTGGCTTTCCATCATAGCCAGTCGGCTTTGCTCACTGCTTCCGAGGATGGCACGCTCAAGCTCTGGAACCTGCAGAAGGCGGTCACAGCCAAGAAGTGAGAGCAGCAGCCCCAGGGTGGGGGGGTGGGGAGGGCACCTGGGCGCAGGGGACAGGGTGATGAGGGGCTCCCAGCAACATCCAGCTCCTCTGTCTCCCCCCAGGAATGCTGCGCTAGACGTGGAACCTATCCATGCCTTCCGGGCTCACAGGTAGGGAAGTGCCCCCAAAGGCAGCCTGCCCCTTGGCCCACTCACTGCCATCCTGGGGGCTGAGGCAGGGTGGCAGGAGGGCTCGGAGTCCCTGTGACCCTCTGCACACACCCCACCTCGTTCCTGGCGCTCTTCAGACTTTCAGTGCCCTCGTAGCTGGTTCTCAGCACAGCCTTCGGAGGAGGAAACAGACACGGGGAGTGGGACAGGCACCTTGCCTGGATGGCGCCACCAGAGCACCAGATGCTGGATTCCTTTTGGCCAGCCTTGAAAAATGCTAGTGGAGCACTTCAGGGTCCCGTGGGGGATGGGGAGCCTGGAGTTTTTCATCTCCCCGCTTCACACAACTTGGTATCCTCCAGGGGCCCCGTGTTGGCAGTAGCCATGGGCAGCCACAGTGAATACTGTTACAGCGGTGGGGCAGATGCCCGCATCCATAGCTGGAAGATTCCAGACCTCAACATGGACCCGTACGACGGTTACGGTGAGGACAGCTCCCTCCCCTGCCTTCCTTTCCCCCACCCGCCTGCCACCGGGGCCTCTTGGTTCCCGCAGCCCCCAGGCTTCACACTGGGTACAGGGGGTCGGCATGCCAAGGGCTCCCAGTCTGGTGAAGCATGGGCCAAGGCGATTCAGCACGTGCCTGAGGGTGGGACAGGACAAGGCAGCAGCGGGGGCGCTGGGGGAGCGTTTCGCAGAGGAGCTGATTGGGGTTGAGCTTTGGGGCCGGGGACCAGCCCGGGCAAAGGCGTGGTGGGCCTTGGCAGCTCTCTGCGCTCAGCTCTGCCCACATCTGCATGGTCAAGCGGAGGGAGCCGGCGAGGAGCAGGTAGAGCAGGTGAGATGGAGACTCTAGCTGGGCCAGGCTGTAGGGAGTTTGGCTGTATCCTTGGGCCACCTTTAAGATTAAGTGGAGAAGTGACCAGACTGTCAATATCTGTTCCGTGTCCGTGTCCCTGCCCTCTGACACCTCTTCTGATAACCCTTTTGATCGCACACATGGCTCCGTACAACAGGCTGTCATGGCAGAGTTTAGAGGGCTGTGTCTCCTCTCAGAATGTATACTGTTTTCTGAAGAATGGTCTCACCCTTTCAGAGGTCAAGGGTCAGTCCCAGGCAGTATCTGCTCTAGGCTAAGAAAGTTGTCACATGTCGGCTGTCAGCAGGACCCAGCCAGAGCACCCTGTGTGGACTCGAGTGACCAGGGAGGCAATGGTGGGAACGACCAGAGGGCTTTGGAGAGACCGGGCAAGGCCGTGCTCTTGGGCAGAAAACGCCGCAGGGACCGAGGGTGGGGCTGACCCACAGGGGCCAGCCTGCAAAGGGTCCCAGGGCCACAGAGCCACCCTTGTCCCTCGTCCCCTTAACTAAGCAGCGGCTTCGTGCCAGGCACTATCGCGGGCCTGTGGGGACGGCAGGGAGCGAGGAAATCCATACCTTCTGGAGCTTCCACTCTGGGGCGCCTTCAGGGCCCTAAAAGCTTCACAGGACAGCTAGCGGTCAGAGCGGGAGCAGCTCTGAGGGCGTGAGGATTTGGGGACGAAGCCGGACGAAAGGGCAGCTCGAGCTCAGTGCCTGTGTCTCGGCAGAACTGGTGCTCCGGGGCTGTCGCGGCTGGGGCCAGGGCCGGCGGCCCTGACGCAGCCCTTCTCTCCCTCTGGCGGGTCCAGACCCGAGCGTGTTGAGCCACGTCCTGGAGGGCCACAGGGATGCAGTGTGGGGCCTGGCCTTCAGTCCCACCTCCCAGCGCCTGGCTTCCTGCTCTGCCGACGGCACTGTCCGCATCTGGGACCCCAGCAGCAGCAGCCCAACCTGCCTCTGTACCTTCCCCACAGCGAGCGGTGAGTGGGGGGGACATGGGGGCGTGCGGGACCCTGACAGGTGGCGCAGGAGCCGTACAGAGCCGGAGGCCCCCAGAGGAGGGGCGCCTCCTGTGCCCCCCGCACCCAGGGAAGAGCGGGGCCGTTAGGCAGCCTTCTCTCCCCCTCCGCCTTCAGATCATGGGACCCCCACCTCAGTGGCCTTCACCAGCACCGAGCCTGCCCACATTGTGGCCTCCTTCCGCTCTGGCGACACCGTCCTGTATGACCTGGAGGCTGGCAGTGCCCTCCTCACACTGGACTCCCGGGGGAACAGCGGTAAGGGAGGCCCCAGGAA